AGGACAAGGTGGCATTCAGGGACGGGGCGGGGGGTACACGCCAGCAGGGAGCAACCTTCTGGCATAGCTCCAGCCTGTCTCGGCTTCAGAGCGATGCCAGCAAAGCAGGACAAGTTGAACATCGCTGATGCTGGCAGAGAAAGGGTTAAATGCTGGCCAAAATATTGTGCTTTTCTAGTCTTGGCCCTGATATTTGCTGGAGATGGTTTGGGGGTTTTCTGGCAGTTTGGGGATGCGATGAGCTGAGGGTATGATGGAGATGGACAACTTGGAGTTCATCTCGGGTTTTTTTTGGTGGCTGCTCCCAAGTGACCTCGTTTTTAAAGAGATCCCTTAAAACAGAAAAATCCCCCCCAAAAAACCACCCTGTTAAGGTCTTTAGAGTGCTCCCAACCTCCTGTGGCAGAGGGACATCTTGGCGCTCTCTCCGCAGGGAAGCTCTCCGGCATCACTGCCAGCACGGACGCAGGCGACCATGGCACCCCCAAAGGGCAGCGGGGGCCCCAGGATGGGGCCAAAAACCCCGTTAGCAAGATCTCCTCCAGTAAGTGTCCCTGCTTGGGTAAGGGCAATGGTTCAAGTCTTGGTGGGAAAACCCTCCGCAGGGCTTCTGCAGCTCTGGGGGGGTCCATGGACGGCTGGGAGGGAGGCTGCACATCCAGCAGTGGGTTTGGGGAGTTTTATCCTCAGCTGCTTGCAAATCCTGCCACTTGGTTGCCATCTTGTGGAGTCTGGAATCTTGCAATTTCCCTCTGCCTCCCTTTGCCTCCTGGATTTTATAGAGTTTCCCTTTTTTATCTGGAACTTTTTTCACTCTCTCATCTTTACCCCCGCGAGGAGATGGCTTCTGGCTTTTTGCCCCTTCCTCCAAGCAGGGGCTCGCTTAGAGCGCTTGGTACCTGGGGAGCGAAATGCATCATGACCTGATTTAAGATGCTAGTTTGGAGCATCCCTTCCTCTCCGCTTTTTTTCCAGTGCACAGAAACCTCGAGAACCATTTTTCCAACTCCCTCACCCCCCCTTCCCACACCAGCAATTGCCAAAATTGCAGAGAGCAAGCACAGGTTTGGGGGGCCACCCTGCATCCTTTGGGACTGTTGGAAAGGTGCAGGGGTGGGACCCTAGTGTTGCCATCATCCTTCACGCTGTCTGA